TGTTTTGATGTTGTGGAAAATCATCATTTTCATCATGATCTTCATCATTTATTGTGTGATTTGTAGCATTATTAGAAGTTTTTCCAATGCCTGATGTTTTGTTTCTTTTTCGGTCGGTTTTATTCATTAGAATTTTCTTCCAATGCTTGTTGTTTCGTTTGTTTTTCGGTTGGTTTGTTTACCGTTGCTTTTGCTTTTTCCCACAGGGTGCAAGTCATTTTCTCAGCATCTTTGCTCATCACAGCTATGTAATCATATAATTTACAGTATTCCCACCAAAGTAACCGCAACATTATGAATCAAGTAGAAATTCGAATTCTTGGGATGGTATCCCTGTCATTTTCGTCGGAGATTCTAAATCCACTTTATGGAATGAAGTAGATAGAATGGCAGTTCTCATTTAAAAGTAATTTCTTTGAGGAAGATATACCGAATGTTCTGTATGTAGGCGCAAGAATTTGTATTATTATTATTATTATTTGTTGTTGTTGTTGTTGTTTCATAGTTTCTTGTTAGGTGTTTAGTTTCTCGTCTTCATAAGTGTCCTTTTTCAGTTACCAGTTTTGTACTTGTTATATTTATTTGCATATCGTTTATATTCTGTTCGCGCGTAATTTATTTGGTTAGTTGTCTAGTTTGCGAAACATATCGGAACATATCGTGCCTTGGGTTTCATTTTTTCGTCTTTTATTTGGTCACATTCGTTTTGTAAGTGTCCTTGCTTATTTCGCTTTGTCGTTTTCCAGTACTTTCACTCATACATTGTAAATTATTTTATGCCCATTCGCGGGTGTGTAATTTTGTTATTTTCAGTTACCGTGTTCAACAATGTGTCATGTCAAGTTTGTTAAATTTTCGATGAACGGAAGTTTGTTCTAGTAAAGTTTGAATACGAGATATATTAGCGTTTGCGGCTATACTGTACAATAAATGGTAGAGAATCCGCTCCATTCATGCATGAATTTGTACATGTATACGGGATTTTACTGTGACACTATTGATAACAGGCTGCATACATAGTTCAAATGCCATCTTACCAGGCTGTTTTGGCAGTCCAATGTTTTTAGTTGAACTGAAGTCGTTTAGCTTGAATTGTAGCCGCGGACGCAATAAATAATGAGCCACGACGTACGTTCCATCGCCTGGTTTGATTCTGATACCACAACCAAGGTGAGTCTCTCGAGCGTCAACTACGGACTTAAAGTGGCTTACAATGCCCTTCCCTAGGCCTGTGAATAAATACGTACGTGTTTATGACGACACATAAACTAAGAAATTATTGTGATAATATTCAATATGCCACTGTATTGTGAATGCGCATGTTACAAATCTCCAGTTATAGTTCTGCCTTATGCAAACAATTTTGGGAACCACTCACTATTTGTTGCTGTGGGGAGGGGATGGGGAATTTTGGGGCTCACGTGGTTTTCAGGGGAAAGGGAAGGAGGGCCAATAATACAGAATCTTAGGGAGAATTAAGGTAAATTTTCGTGGCTCGGGTCCTTCAAACCCTTCTCTGGTGAAAGGTTATGACTGATCCCTCGGTGAACGGAGGCTACCATACTTCAGAATAAATAAATCAGTTTATAGATTTTTAGACCGGCGCCATGAACCTGTCTTTATATTAATTAACCAAAGATTGTGTTTTCTTTTAGCCTTCTTAAAATCCAAATGCTAACCTGTGTTATAATCGTAACCACGTTTTAGCTCACTATACCAGCTTCTCACTGCACTGGGAATTGCTCCTAGTCTAGTCCCCATTCCTTCCCAGCCCCATCTCTTCCAGGAAATGCTTTCGACATAATTTTTTGTCGGCGTTGATCTTTGGACGGCATCATGGTTGGCATTAGAGTCTGCCCAGGATTGCGCCGATTTGGCTAAATTCGGATCGCATTTGAGTGGGGGAGAGTTGTGCAGTGAACGGTAGTAATTGTGCTGGATTAGACAAAGCCTCTGACATTGTGGACCACATTCTGTAATTTCACCAAGAAATAGATGACTAATTGGAACAGAAAAATCGCAAGGAAACCTTAAAGAAGCGACATTTTTTAATCAGGATTTAAAAAGCTGCTTACTCAATCCTGCACCACAGTTTCCAACATTTTTCCATTCTTGAGCTGGAAAAGAAGCAAGGTGTACAAGAGTGTGATGGGAAATATCGAAGCCTTCTATCGGGTGAACATTCTACTTTGGTTGAAAACCTCAGTTACAACTTTCAGGTGGTAAATAACAAAGGATAACACATGCAAGCAAAGATAGAAATGAAATGTTACCTTATTTAAATAAACAACAATAGAAGGACATAACAATAAATGTGCAGAGAAGTTTCATATTTCAAAGAGACAAGGTCGCCTATCAGAAACTTAGAGGCAGAAACGGGGAATTGAGGAAGAAGTGGTTGTTCCGTGAATGGAACAATATTGGAATTATGAGTTAACTCCTTTGGTGTAATAGTCGAACAAAAGGGATAGAGACATGAAATAAGAATAAGATCTATTTACTTTTTTTGTTTTTATGTCATATGTTATACAACAAAGTTAGAGTTTGCACCTGAAACCATCATAGCACCACACACTATCAGAAAAGCCCTTACTAAGGTTCCCGGCTCCATTCTATAATAAAACAAACAAAAATAATAACCCTATCGTAGGTCATCAATGTATTAGACCTTTAAATTTCCTTGGCTGTTTCCCAGACAAATCATAAACAGAGACCTGCAAATTTCACTCTCGGAAAGCTTTTGACTCTCGGCAGGTCTCCTATTTGTGATACTGGCTTTTAGGAATGTTTATTTTATGAGTTTCAACAGTTTAAATTTTTTTTTTCCTTCTTTCAATTTAGTCAAGCCAACAATATATTCGTCTAGAGCTATATGGAACGTAATATTGAAGCACGATCGTCTCAGCACTAAAGAAAGATTCTAGTATTGTATTAGTTTTCTAAGTGTTCGCCGTTACAAAATCAACACAAGAGCTCCCTCTTAGTGGCTCAAATCAAAACCAATATTTGTCGTGGATCGTTTACTTAACATTGAAAAAGGCTGTAGATAATTTTTTATGCGTTTATAAGCACAAAGTTACAGTCTCAAAGTAACTAAGATAAATTACAAGTTCATCGTCTAAAATCACCGAAGGTCATTAAAAAAAAACACGCCACCTAAGTTAGCAATAATCACAAATGATCCGAGATAAGTATAAAGGCTTTTTTTGTCACCTGTTCACCGACTCCCCAAGGCTAATTGATAATTCGTTGTTTTGTCTTCCTCTCAGAGTGATAAAATATTGTTATTCTAGACGATTTAGGGCGATAAATTCGACACACCTTATTGATCGCTGTACGTGTACCTGCTCAGCAACCCGTACGTTTATCAATTTGGAATGATTGAAAAATACGAGCACCAGACTTCATTTTTGTCAAAGAAGGCCCTCTTGCGTTAAATAATTAGACATAGGAGCAACATTCTATCAGTATTCCTTTTTTGTTTTGTTTCCTTTTCTTTTGAATTAAACCATTCGTTCTATTTCTTATGGAGACACTTCCATTATTTGTACATTTCAGTCCCACTTTGTTTATCTGGTCGCATCCTAACCGGTGGATTGTCGTCGGAAAGGTTATTAATAATGATAATAGGACCGAGTGGAGTCCAATTCGGTCTGTAATCTTACGAGTGATCAACAAAATCGGACGACCACGAAGCGGGAGTCCGATTTGTCAACCACGAGTATGATTACAGACAGAATTAGACGACACAAAGTCCTATTGCCAATTAATCAAAATTGTTACAATTTTCAAAAACAACAAATACATTAAGGACAAATACGCGCAGTATAGACAATCTATAAGTTAAAAATTCCTCAACTTTGGAAACTCCACGACTTTTTTCAGGATAAGTGGTTGTTGCTATGGTTACTGTGATCAATTCTGTGATTGGGGGATTTGACTGAAATGACTAAGTATAATTGGCGGCTTCAACTTTCCGATTACAGGTGTACGATTATAGCCAACTGTCAACTGTCCAACACGGTTCAATGACAACTCTAGAGAATGATTAGTGAATAATGAAGCAGTTACTACACCAATCGCATTTGAGGAAATTGTAATGGTTATGATTACATCAGAAATCAAGCTTCAGTTCACATAACTGCAGTTGTAGAGCAAGAATTAACTTAAGCGAGAAGTCAGATTTAAATCGTAACCTAATAAAAAAGCAAGCGGTCAAGGAGCAATTGATTAGCTCTGCATCTGATTTTTTTGAAGAGTTTGCGCAAGTTTTCCAGTTCAATCACAGGGCGAAACGAAATAAATCGTTGCAATTCCGGATCATCATTCGAGATTTCGCAGCCGCTATTATTTTACCATTATCCGGAAGTTGATCTGGACTCGGTTAAAAAACGTTGACAGCACATGGTTTTAACTTTCAAAATGATTCAGGGTTTTTAATGTTCTATTTTGCTCTTGTTCGGTAATTAATGCTCTAAACGACACAACATATGAGCCAGAAATACCCGACCCGTTGGCTTCCTTTCTTGCTATAATTCTGTAGATGGGCACTCTACTGATATTATTTTTCACTTTTATTGATAAAATAACGTTCTAAATTGGCTATCTGATTTACGAATCATCACACACTATAAAGTTGAACTGCTGATCAACACAGTGAGAGAAAAAGAAATACTTCCTTGGCCGTTAAGTCCATTTTTGTTTCTTCTTCGTGATCAATAATTAGAGTTTTAAGAAATCATTCCGACTACGGGAGGGCGAGAGGGGTTGGTCAAATTGGTGTTTTACCAGCTTTAGATTATTGCTTTTTCTTGTCGAGGGGATTTTGATAAGGCCTCACGATTTCCTTTGCTACACCCTTAACAATTTTTTTTCTGAAAATGAAAGAAAGAGTGAAAGGAAATAGGAACTATTCTCGTACATATTTCATCATTATGACTCATCTGTTTTCGACTTACAAAATCATTTTTGTCGTGTTTTTATTGCTAAAATTTTTTTTCTTACTGTCTCTTAAAACACCAAGTACGTCCCTCGCGATTGTAAAACTTAACTGACGGCTCACTCATAATCATATCGTCGTAGTAACATTCAAGGGGGCAATTTCCTGGATTGACGAATGGTGCCGTCAGATCCAGTCTGCACAATTCACGGTCACCGGAACGTATATTGCAGCCGGGTTCTGTAAGATAAAATAATGATGGATAATCAACGCACAAGGACACCGTCCTTTCTAGCCTCTGTCAATTAAATACGCCTCTGAAAATATATGTCAGAGAACATGGCCTCTCCATCGGTTTTATTTAATGATGATCGTTGGTAAACAAGAGCCAACCACATGGAAAGCTTGCATGAAATGACCATCATCTTTAGAAACAAAATGAAGAAAACAAAAATACAAAGCAGTGTTAAATATCCTATACAGAGGACCTCGGCGACACTGATACAGCGAAGCGCAGAGACATTCCAATCACCTGGTGATCTCCTGCATTCTACATTATCTGGAGCTATTTTTTCTTTTTCCATGCTCGTGTGAGAGGGCGGAGCATAACGTGCAGTGACGTAAGTACCATCGTTTGGCTTGATGTTAAGTCCACAACCCAACTTGGTCTCTCCTGCCCACACTACCGCTTGAAAATGTCCAATGACGCCAGTACCTCGGCCTGTGTGGTAATTGTAACCGTTCTTGATCTCTGAATACCAGCTTCTCACTGCATTAGGGATGGCTCCTTCCATTTTGTCCATCCCTTCCCAACCCCATCCTTTCCAAGAAATGCTTTCAGTAAATCTGTTTGTCGATTCGGAATGGTGCATATAACCTTTAGCGGCTTGTTGATCTGTCCATTTCTGGGCAGATTTCGCCAGCTCGGGGTCACACTCCATTGGTGGAGAGCCATGTAGGCCTCGGTAGTAATTGTGCATGTTAAGGCAAAGGAGCTGAGAATGTGGACCACAAGCTGTTAAAGGATTAATGATAAGTTTTAAATATTTTAAGAATAGTAAAACTAAACAGATGAAGGACTGAAGGTTGATGGTTGGTTTATGCAATTTTTCCAAGAATCATACTTACTCAGCCCATCTCCGCAAGACAGCCCTTCGCCAGCGTCTGAGAAACAACAGAGATGTCCAATTATTTTCCATAGTAAGAAAGAGAAATAGTTAATTCAGACGTTTTTCGTTGGGAGGTCACATCACACCCTCACGACCCTATACGTGACTTGCAAGTCTTTTCTGGCGTGAATCGAAAAGGAGTAGTGCATCCCCTCAAGGGTTGTTCAAGTGTTTAAAAATATCATAGACTAACATCAAGATTATCTAAGGTTTTGGTTATGCTCTCCTAAAAGATGACAGCTCGCGGTTGCCCTTTTTTACTCCGTTCTTTTTAATAATCTCGAGGGAAAGAGGATTCCGAACAAAACAAAAATCTAAAGGCCTCGCATATTAAGATGCAAAATATCTGAAATACTTGTTGATGCTGAGGTTGGACTCCCAGTCGAAGCCCCAGTTGTTGGCTTTCGGTTGATGGAACTACCACTGGCTCTATAAATGCAGATGAATGAACGATCAAAGGCGAGATACTGCGACAATCCATTAGAAGAAATAAAAATTTGTTTGATGAGTTGATTTTACAATAGCTTGTAATTGTACCATTTCTGATAGAAAAAGCTAAAACTCGCGTATTTTATAACCAACGAAAAACGCTCAACCTACCTGAGGGTAATAAGGAGAGAAGCAAATTGACTCAAAAACTTTGGTTCCGTAGAGAAAAATAAAGCTTGCATTCTCACTATACGTATCTTAGAAGACAATATTAAAACGAAAGGGAACAACTGAAAGCAAAAACAAAAATTGGGACGAAATGACAGCAACATAAGAGGTTCTGATTAACTGGAGGGAAAAAAAAAACACCAAAACTGGTGGCTAATGCCGGTGTCATCAAAGTTTCCATGCGTACCTACGTGCAACTGACGCATGCAAAACAAAATGCATTTTGCCCAAAGCTTTCTCGCAGCCTTTCAAGGCAGCAACTTTATTCACAGCGTTTACGTGACCAATAATATTATTGAGGACATCTTTTGCTTCTGGACATGATGGACGAATTTGTTCTGATCCTGAGGAAATTAGTACAACATTAACAAAGAAGAACAAGAAAAAAGAAATAAAGAAAAAAAGAAGAAACAGAACTCCACGACAAAGGAGACGCGAAGAAGACGCGAAGAAGACGCGAAGAAGAAGAAGGAGACGCGAAGAAGAAGAAAAGCTAGTAGATAACACTGGTAGATTCTGCTTTGTTTATGAAAATGCAGCACATTGCAGTCAGTTCGTCTCCCTATCAAGTTATTAGGGACCTAAAGATCCGAGGACGGCGGATGTCTACTACGGCTGTCATGACCGAGGGGGGACTGGGAAGAGTTTGGCGTCGCAAGGCGCGAAAAATCCTTAGGAGACCAAGTCGAAGGCGCGGACGGCATTGTTTACATATTTTCGATTTCTATTATAAAGTACTTCAGTCATGGCTTCCTTTAGAGAGATTCGTAGCACTCTTCTGCAAAGTTTTGATGATTGCGATATATCAGAGGACGAGGTCCTTCTTTCTTATGACGTTAACATATCCAAAAACCCAGATTTTCCTTATGAAAGTTATGGGAAATTTGACCTTAATGATATTGATGACAGTGAGTGTTTATCCGAGTTTTGTTTTCGTAAGAGTGACTTTCCCGTCCTTTCTGAGGCCCTACATCCTCCTAACTACTTTACATGTCGACAAGGAACAATATGCGATGGAATTGAAGGGTTATGCATCGCACTTCGAAGGCTTGGGTACCCATGTAGACTAAGTGATCTAATTCCACGTTTCGGCCGCCGAGTTCCAGAGCTAAATATAATTACCAGCCTTGTGATGGATACAATTTATCAGGAAAATAATCACAGAATAACTCAGTGGAATGATATACTCGTGAACCCAGGAACACAAAACGTCCAGTGTCTGTAACATTAAGTCTTTAATCAAGTTTATTTGAATTAAAAAGCCTGAACATGAAGCTGATATAACATGGAAAACCTAACAATAAAATAAAAGCAAGTGTACAAAACAAAATCAAGAAACATATGCCTGAAATTGCTGAAAACTAAATTCATCTTGCGCAGTACAAAATCAGGACATGACTTATTTTTGTTTTTCTAGAAGTTTTATGATAATTTGAGACTGCTGCTGCTGCATTAGCGTGAACATCTTCTAAAAATTTTGCATTTGTTCTTGTTGCTGTTTGGTTTGCTGCAGCATGACCTGCATCAAATCGTGATGTTGCTTCTTGGACTGCTCCTCCTTCTTACTTTCAGCCTCTAGTCGCTGCTTTTGTAGCTGCATTTCTTCCATTTTCCATTTCTGCATGAGATCGTTCTTTTCCCGCAAATATGCCTTGAGAAATGCCTGGAAGGTGATCTGTATTGAAGAAACAATACTTTTATGCGCTTCATGCTGCAAAACTGGGATATGTCGTTGGTATTGTGATTCATAACAGTGATGAAGAAGAGACGATTACGATTATGGTACTCTAAAAAACAGTCACTCTACAAAGGATTGGTGATAAGTTATTTCTCAATGAATTTTTTTTCATACGAAAATGGACAATACATAAATAAGTGAGCATTTTGTACCGTAGATGGACGATCATTGCTTAACCCTCAAACCCCTGGAGTGACTAGAACCTTATTTCTCCTAATTATTTCTATGGTCACACTATAGATTTTTGCCCTTGGGAAACGAGACTTGATGACAGTCCACACACGAAGCTTAGATTTGCCAGTGTGACCGATTTATAACGTGAGAAATTACCTTGGGGAAATTTTAGCTTATGGTGCAGGGATACTGTTGTCGGCAGGGGATATGGCTCGTCGCCCTAGTCGTACACGCCGACCATCCAACGTTGAGAGAAAAAAAACTAACCATGTAATATTTTGAGTTTCAAGCATGTTTATGACATGATTTACTGATGAGTTCGCGCCAAAGCGTTTTGCAGTTTCATAGTATTTCACCAAGACACCGGCGACCTTTTCATCTTAGAAAATTGAAACCGAAGATAAATTTACCACGGGTGAACTCCAGTAATTTTCCAACGGTAAACTGATTTTTCCGTGGTAAAAGTCTGTAGCGTGACCAATACCATTAATATCACCTCTGAATCAAAGGTTGAATTCATTAGAATAAAGGAAATGCTCGCCGGCTTGATAGGCTTTTAATTTTGCAACGAATTTACCCTGTCGTTACCACGGATAGGGAATGTATGAAGTATAGAGGCTATAAATGCTGATATGAGGGTGTAAGGGATTTAATTGATACCACCTACCCTCGGAAGACTTCGTTTGAAGTACCTTGTAATCATTCTCTTTTCGGGGCGGCGGAGGAGATTGAAATGGCGTTGTCCCAGCGATAGATACATTCGTTATCAAGCCTAAAGAAAATTATCACATCATCAAGGAAAAGAAATTATTTTAAGTTATCGATTGCAGAAAGAAAGGGAAGGCAATTTTTTCTGCTCTAGAAACCGAGACATAATATTCACTACTTACCAGACCCAGCCGCCTCCTTTTTACTAAAACACCATAAAGACGCGTTTGGACTGTGCCACTGTAAGCCAGGTTCGTCCATGAACATATCATCATAGCAACATCCAGCGTTTAAGCATTTGTCAGGAGTTATAAATGGACTTTTAAAACTCCCACACTGTTCTCTCTCAGAAGACTTTTGGTGACACTGAGGATCTGAAATTACATGAGTCAAATTGCTGATATGTTTTGTTTTGATGTTGTTGAAAATCATTATTATCATCGTGGGCTTCATCGTCTATTGTGTGATTTGTAGCATTATTAGAATTTTCCCAGTGGCTACTATTTTTTATATTTTTCGGTTGGTATGAGTCATTATAATTTTTTTTCTAATGCCTGTTGTTTTGTTTGTTTTTCGGTTGGTTTGTTTGCTGTTGCTTTTCTTTTTTTCCACAAGGTGCAAGTCATTTCCTCTATATCTTCGCCTATCACAGCTATGGAATCATATACCTTACAGTAGTCCCCCGACGTAACATTACTGAGTAATTTTCTATACAATTTCGCCTATCACAGCTTTTTAATCATAAAATTTATGGTAATCCTACCGAAGTAACCGTAACTTTTATGAATTACGTAGAAATTTGAAATTTTGAAATGCTTGGATGGTATCCCTGTCATTTCCCTCTGAGATTCTATATCCACTTTGTGGATTGAATAATTGTACTAATTTAATAATAAGTCCTTTAAGGAAGATATACCGAATGTTCTGTACACTAAGAGGTAGAGAATCCTCTTCCATTCCTGCATTAATTTGTATAAGTATACGTGATTTTATTTAAATACTTTTGATAAAAGGCTGCGTATATAGTTCAAATGCCATCTTACCTGGTTGCTTTGGCGGTCCAATGTTTTTAGTTGAACTGAAGTCGTTTAGCTTGAATTGTAGCCCCGGAGCAATTGAATAATGGGCAACGACGTACGTTCCATCACCCGGTTTGATTCTAATGCCACAACCAAGGTGAGTCTCTCGAACGTCAACTACGGACTTAAAGTGGCTTACAATGCCCTTTCCTAAGCCTGCGAATAAATACCTACGTGTTTATAATGACACATGAACAAAGAAATTACAGTGAGAGTATTCAATATGCTACTGTATATGAATGCGCATGTTACAAATCTCCGGTTATAGTTCTGTCTCATGCAAAAAATAAACATCAGTTTCAATAGTTTTTTGGTGAACGGAGGCTACCATACTTTAGAATGAATAAATTAGTTCATAGATTTTCATGGCCGGTGTTAGGAACCCGTCTTCATATCAATTGACCAAAGACTGTATTTTTTTAGCCTTTTAGAAAACAAATGCTAACCTGTGTTGTAATCGTAACCACGTTTTAACTCACTATACCAGCTTCTCACTGCACTGGGAATTGCTCCTAGTCTAGTCCCCATTCCTTCCCAGCCCCACCTCTTCCAGGAAATGCTTTCGACGTAATCTTTTGTCGGCGTTGATCTTTGGACGGCCTCATGGTTGGCATTAGAGTCTGCCCAGGATTGTGCCGATTTGGCTAAATTCGGATCGCATTTAAGTGGAGGAGAGTTGTGCAGTGAACGGTAGTAATTGTGCTGGATTAGACAAAGCCTCTGACATTGTGGACCACATTCTGCAATTTCGTCGAGGAATAGATGATTATTTAGAACAGAAAAATCGCAAGGAAACCTCAAAGAAGCGACATTTTTTTATCAGGATTTGAAAAAGCTGCTTACTCAATCCTGCACCGCAGTTTCCAACATTTTTCCATTCTTGAGCTGGAAAAGAAGCAAGGTGTACAAAAATGTGATGGGAAATATCGAAGCCCTCTATTGGGTGAACATGCTACTTTGTTTGAAAACCTCAGTAACCATTTCTAGATGGTAACTAACAGAGGATAAGACATGCATGTAAAGCTAGAAATGAAATGTTACCTTATTTTAATAAACAACAATAGAAGGACATAATCATGAATGTGAAAAGAAGTTCCTAGTTTTCCTAGTTTCAAAGAGATGGGGTCACCTATCAGAAACTATGAAGAGTAAATAGGGACTTGGTCGGTGAATGGAACCATAACGGAATTAAAAGTTAGCTCCTATGGTAAAATAGTCGAACAAAAGGGATAGAGACATGAAATAAGAATAAGATCTTTTTACTTTTTTTTGCTTTTTATGTCATATGTTATACAACAAAGTTAGAGTTTATACCTGAAACGATCATGGCACCATACACTATTAGAAAAGCTTTTGCTAAGGATCCCGGCTCCATTCTGTAATAAAATGAACAAGAAAAAAAAGGAACCCTATTGTTAGTCGTCAATAAATAAGACCTTTTAATTTGCTCGGCAGTTTTCCCATACAAGTCTTAAAAAGAGACCTGCAAATTTCACCCTTGGAGAGTTTTTGACACTCGGCAGGTAGACCTCCTATTTGTGAGTCTGGCTCTGACGAATATTTATTTTGTGAGTTTTACTTTTTTTTTTAATTTTATTTCTTCTTTTTTCAGATTAGTCAAGCCAATAACATATCCGTCCAAAGCTATGGAAGCTATGGAATGTATTCTCAAAGCATGCTCCTCTCAGTACTAAAGAAAGATTTAAGTATTATATCAGTCTTTAATTGTTTGCCGTTACAAAATCAACACAAGAGCTGCCTCTTAGTGGCGCAAATCAAAACATGTGATTGCGTGGATTGTTTACATAACATTGAAAAAGGCTACTTAGGTGGATAATTTTTATGCGTTTACCAGTACATAAGTTTTCAAGTTCCCATCTCATCAAGTTACGTGGTAAAGTAACTGAGATAAAATACAAGTTCATCGTCAAAGATCGTTAAAAGAACCTGCTACCTAACTTAGCGATAATCATAAATGATCTGAGAGAAGTATAAGTATATATTTTGTTACCTGTTCACTAGCTCCCTGGCTGGGAGGCTAATTCGTTGTTTTTGTCTCCCTTTTAGAGTGATAAGATATTGTTATTCTAGACGGCCTAGGGCGATAAATCCGACACATTTTATTGATTGCTGTACGCGTACCTGCTCAGCGACACACCTTATTGATCGCTGTACGCGTACCTGCTCAGCGACCCGCACGTCTATCATTTTTTAATCGAAAAATGCGCGCACCAGACTCCATTTTCGTCAAAGAAGGCTGCATTGCGCCTTTAAATACATACATATCAGACATAGAAGCAAAATTCCATCGGATATTTTTTTCTCCTTTTCTACATTCATTCTATCATTCTTGTGTAGGTGTTTCCATTATTTTTTACATTTCAGTTCCGCTTTGTTTATACGGTCGCCACCTAGGTGGTGGATTTTCATCGGAAAGGTGATCAGACCAGAAATCAAGCTTCGATTAACATAATTGCAGTTGTGAGCAAGAATTAAGTTAAGTTTGATCCTGAATTGGACACTCGTTGATGCAATCAAAATTAGCGTGAACCCTTGACTCATTATTGAGTAATTATGGCTGGAGTAATTTTAAGGCGATAGTAGGGAACTTTAAGCAGTGGAGGGTTTCATTGACTTTGCTTAACAACGCTCTGAGATTGCCTTCGGAAACTCGCTGCACCCAAAATAATTCATGCAAAATTGTACGTATCAAATGAGAAACAACAGAAAACAAAAGATATCACCTCCTTATTGCAGTTATCAGTCCGTGCTAGAATGAATGAAACGTAAAGAGAGACAAAGATATCCCGTTAAAAATAGAAAGAAAAGATGGAAATGAAGCATTGCTGGAAGAACTGCGCCCGAGCACCCATAGACCGTCTTAGGGAAAAGAGCAACAATAACAAATAAGAAGTCAGATTGAAAACATAATCTATAAAAAAGCAGGCGGTCAATGCAAGTAACAGTTGGTTTCGCTTTACATCTGATTTTTTAATGAGTTAGCACAAGTTTCTCGCTCAATCACAGAGTTAAACGAAATAAATCGCACGTAACTCCGGGTTATCATTCGAGATTTCGCAGTCATCATCGTTTTACCATTATTCTGAAGTTGATCTGAAGCCTAGTTGAAAAAATGTTGACAGCACATGGCTTTTAATATTCAAAATGATTAAGGGTTTTTCATGTTTTATTTTGCTCTTATTCGGTAATTAATGCTCTGAACTGTATAACATACAAGCCAGAAACACCGATCTCGTTAGCTTCCTTTGTTGCTGTAATTCTGTAGAGGGGCACTCTACTGGTGTTATTTTTCACTTTTATAGATAAAATAAGGTTCTTAATTGGCTCATTGATTTACGAATCATCATGCGCTTAAAATTTTTAGTTGAAATGCTAATCATGCTGTGTGAGTAAAAGAGATCCTTCCTTGACTGTTGAGTCCATTTTTGAGTCTTCTCTTTGATCAATAATTGTGTTCTTAGAATCATTCTGAGTACGGAAGGGGCAAAGGGGTCGGTCAAACTGGTGTTTTACTAGCTTTAGAAATCAAACTAGGTCGTTTTATTATCATAACCTATTGTTTTTTCGGATCAATACCAGTATCTGGGCAACTGCCCACCTACCCCTCCCCTAACTCAATAACAAGTTAGGGTTAATGTTGGGTCAGGGGAGGGGTAGGTGGGCAGTTGCCCAGATACTGATATTGATCCGCTTTCTTGTTGTCGAGGAGATTTTGATAAAACTTCACGACTTCCTTTGCTACACCCTTGACACTTTTTCCGAAAAATGAAAGAAAGAGTGAAAGGAAAGAGAAACTATTCTCGTACATATTTCATCATTACGACTCGTCTGTTTTCGACTTAGGAAATCATTTTTGTTGTGTTTTTATTGTTAAAATTGACCTTTTTACTGTCTCTTAAAACACCACTTACGTCCCTTACGACTGTAAAACTCTATCGACCGCTCACTCATAAACATGTCGTCGTAGCAACATTCTAGGGGGCAATTTCCTGGATTGACGAATGGTGCCGTCAGATCCGGCCTGCACAATTCACGGTCACCGGAACGTATATTGCAGCCGGGTTCTGTAAGATAAAACGATGATAGATAATCACCACACGGGGATACACCGGTTTTTTCTTGCTGCAGTCTGAAAAATTTACGTCAGAGAATATGGCCTCTCGGTTTTATTCAATGATGATCGTAAACTAGATAAATATGGACAGCTTGCATGTGATCATCATCTTTAGAAACAAAAGAAAGATAACAACAACATAAAACAGTGTTAAGTATCCTATACAGAGAGCTTTAGTGACACTTCCGATAAAGCAAAACGCAGAGACATTCCAATCACCTGGTGATCTCCTAGGTTTAACATTATCTGGAGCAATTTTTTCTTTATCCATGCTCGTGTGAGATGGCGGAGCATAATGTGCAGTGACGTAAGTACCATCGTTTGGCTTGATGTTAAGTCCACAACCCAACTTGGTCTCTCCTGCCCACACTACCGCTTGAAAGTGTCCAATGACGCCCGTACCTCGGCCTGTTTGGTAATTATAACCGTTCTTGATCTCTGAATACCAGCTTCTCACTGCACCAGCGATGGCTCCTTCCATTTTGTCCATCCCTTCCCAACCCCATCCTTTCCAAGAAATGCTTTCAGTAAATTTATCTGTCCATTTGGAATGGTGCATATAACCTTTAGCGGCTTGCTGGTCTGTCCATTCCTGGGCAGATATCGCCAGCTCGTGGTCACACTCCATTGGTGGAGAGCCATGCAGGTCCCGATAATAATTGTGCATGTTAAGGCAAAGGAGTTGACAATATGGATCACATGCTGTTAAAGGATTAATGGTAAGTTTTAAATATTCCAAGAATAGTAAAACTAAACAGATAAAGGACTGAAGGTTATGTAATTTTTTCTAGGAATCATACTCACTCAGCCCATCTCCGCAATACGGCCCTTCATCAGCGTCTTAGAAACAACAAAGATATCCAATTATTTCCCATATTAAGAAAGAGGAATAATTAATTAAGACGGTTTTGGTTGGAGGGGAACATCATACATTATCACGACCTCAAGGGGAAAAAAATAACGGAAGTTGTACAAAAGCTTCTCTGCATCACTAAGACTGGACAGCCTGAATGATGGTGTATGTTCCAGTTTCCTGGCATGAATCGAAAAGAACTAGCGCTCCCCTTCTAGGGTTGTACAGGTGTGCAAGAACATCAATGATTATTTAAAGTTTTGGTCATCCTCCTAAGGCGGTTGCCCTTTTTTTACCCCCTGACTTTTGATAATCGCGAGGGGGAGAGGATTCCGAACATTACAAAAATCTAAAGGCCTCGCATATTAAGATGTAAAACATCTGAAATACCTGTTAATACTGATGTTGGACTCCCAGTCGAAGCCCTAGTTGTTGGAGTAGGGCTTGCGGTTGACAAAACTAGCACTGGCTTTGGAGATGCAGATGAATGAACGATCAAACGGAGGATTCCTGTGACAATTCATCAGAAGAAGTAAAAAGGTATTCGATGAGTTGATTTCACAATAACTTGCGATTGTATCATTGGTTTTAGAAACAGCTTAAACACGCATGTTTTACACGAACGAACAATGCCCCACCTACCTAAGAGTAAAAAGGGGAGAATAATATTTATTAGGCCAGGAGCCAACATCTTCTCTCAGGCTCTTCACTGATGTCCTTCCAAGCTGTCTTGTATTAAAGTGATTTTTCCGGTAAACAGTGCTCCTGAAACATTAAGATCCTAATGAAACGAATGCAGATAACAGAAAAGAAACCATATAAGGAAAAAAAAATGATCTATGCATTTACATAGGGGCGTAAAAAGACAAGGATAATTATAAGATAATATGAAAATGATAATAGAGATAAATCCTTTGTCACTTGCCAAAAACTCAAATTGGTTACCTCGTATGAGAAAAGTAGAGTTATTCAAGTTATAACTTAGTCAACAAAGGTGCATGAGAGGCAAATTTCTAGGTCTGTTTCCCCAAAACAAGTTCCCATTATTTGTATTGTAACTATCCTGTTTAGAATGGTCAATGGAACTGCAAAAACGAAGATAAAGAAAACGTGTTATGAAATTATAATATTAACTTTCAAGTACCTTTTCATACCATGTTGCTGTCACGAGTACTGGTAGTCAACTGGGAAAACAACGACTTTTAAAAGCTTTTAGCAGGTTTCCATTGGACGAGGAATTTTTCTCCCTCCTCAATAGAATCGTGATTTTCCACCATTAAGCTGTTACTGTGAAAAAAAAGTAAATAAACAAAAACAAAGAACAAAAAACAAAACAAAACAAAACAAAACAAAAACAAATAAGAAACAAACCATTATAAACAAAGGCAAAACCGGCTCCCAGTGGCTATAGAGGTTAGTCACCTGTACAAAGCATTTGACAAGGATTGGCAGGACTGTGTTATTCAAACCAACAAACACGCAAAAACTGAAATTCCACATTCCAATTCGATCTGCAAAAAGTGAACCGCATGAGCCACCTCGTGGAATGGTCACTGCCAAGTTACTATTATTACTATTACTGTTATTATTAAAATTATAAACATTAAAATTTCCTCGCTTGTGATTGGCTTGAAAAACGCCGATTTTCCACTAATTCACTTGCAAGTTGTCATAGAAAAATTTGTCATCAGAAAGTTTAATTTACCAATCACATTCAAAATTTTAGTTCACGTGACAATTAGGATTACAATTTACGCCTCCTTTGTCAGTCTTTTCATGCAAATGTTCCCTCTCTTTCGTAACCTGGCTATTCTTCTTTTCTCAGAGAATGTAATTGTTATGATTTATTGGTAATAAGACTTCGTGTCGTCCAATTCGGTTTGTAATCATAGTCGTGATAAATAATCGGACTCCTGCTGCGCGGTCGTCCGATTTTGTCATCACAGTTTTATTAGCGTTACTTAATATTTATCATGATATTATCACTTTTGCATTAATATGTGTTTGATAAGATATCTAGAGACAAACCGAATTGGACTCCACTCAGTCTTATTACCATTACTTAATATTTATCATGATATTGTTATCACTTTTGCATTAATATGTGTTGGATAAGATATCTAGAGACTGACTGCCCGCCGAAATCTTGAAATTGCTAGTGCAGGAGCCTTGGTAAATTTAAATACTCTTCCCGTGAAGGTTAATGATATAAGTGAAATAAGCATTCAAAGCCTACTAAATGAGAACCACTTACACAGGTTCTCTAAACTATTGGGAGAGTCGACTAAGTGCTGAACGAAATCTCGTACCGCAACTTTATACACTTAAAGAGGAACCCTACAGTGCTCTTTTCTAAACTTGCATTTTGAATTATTGCCATCAGCAAGTGTTACTACTTGCTTGAAATACTTAAACCTGAGATATTTCCCGGCTGAAATCATGTCTCAGGGAAATAAGTATCATGACTACCTTTGCAATTGCAACCTTGGCCCCACGCCTATGTTAAATACCCGCAACACTTCCAAACCAAAATATATAAAAATAAAAAACAAAAACAAAAACAAAACAAAATAAAACAACAAGTCGATTGTGTGAGGAATATTAATTGCTTCAGGAAAAATAGCACAATTGGACCAAGATACAATATTCTTTATTAACAATCACTTAGCATACATGTTAGTTACGAGGAAGTCTCTTTTAAAATATTTCAACAAACGGAAATGGAGGAAAAGTGACGCGAAAAAGGATTCTTTCCTCCAGCGATTCATTCGATTAGATCACCATATTTGTTCTTCCTGGGTGTTGGCCCTGTAGAACAGAAAAGAACACCAAGAAAACGTAAGAATTGAATAACTTTTTTTCCAATCTCACTAATCTCACTAAGCCGTTATATGTGCCCCGTCAAGGGGATTATTTAAGAGTATTATTTGACTTAATATTATTTAACTCCCATGACTGACCAAGACCGAATTTCTCCGTACAATATCAAAGCAATATCAAACAGGCAAGTCATGAGTATAAAGGAAAAAATGTAAACAAGGGAATTATTATTTGATTCAATACCAAATTCTCTGAACTAACATCATAAGAAATGTAAAATCGACAGTAAGGAGAATTACCAATGAGATCTTGGAGGTGGAGGATTTAAAATGTCTGATACAAGACACAATATACCTTGTCTAAATGAAGGCCTCTCCCGCTGATTACTCGTCCTCTGGCCAGCTTCCTGGCTGCTGCGGTCATTGTCGCTGCCTTCTTGGTCAAACCATGGCGTGAAGACATCACTTGAACTTGTCTTGCTATCTGGCTCAGTTTCTCGTGGTTTCTGTCTGATCTGCGTTGTAAATGTAAGTAAAACTACAATTAACGATTTGCTAGATTTGCTAGAAAGTTGCGGTTCTTTCCTTTTTCCTTTTATTAATTGAAGGGGGGGGGGGGGTGCTTGGCAGTTGAGACTGACACGGTTAGAAAAATATCGACGAAGCACAGCTTTTATAGCCGGTGTTTTGTTGGTACTTTGTGACACTTTGTGGCGGCAAAGACGTCAAATGGAGAAGCAGAGCTCCGAGTTGAGAGTTTCTTTCAGTCTTCCATCCAAAAATAGATCACTTAAGTTTCCCAATTTAAAGATGCCTTTTATATCATATTTGAGACGATCAAATTGGTCCCTCAACTTTCTATGTACCCCTAGCCATTGCTCTAGGCATGCAAAAAAATGTCTAAGAGAACCTTTTGAGAAGCCTATCAACTTTTCCCACCTGCTCCTTCCTGGTCTGACTCGATGAAGAAAGGCTAGGAGGATTCCATCTTTCACGGTGTTTCTTTCTCAAATCTTCATAAGTTGCATATTTCTTCTCCTTTGCTTCATCAACATCAAAATAGAGCTTTGGTGCTTTATGATCATCTTCACTTGATTGATTGTTAGGGGTAGCAGTGCTACTGGAAAGGGGAAGTTGCATGTCCATGATGGATTCTTCTTCTGAAGGGCTTGCCCACTGGTTCCCTTGAAGAAAAATAAAATAGAGAATTGTGACTTTTCCCTTTTTCTTGTTTTTTTGCACCAATTTTGTATAAGGTGGTACACAAACAAATCAACCAATGGATACACAAGATGACACAAACATGTGGACAGGTGGGCAGACAGATGGACTGAAATATGATAAAAAAAAACAATAATGATGATGACTGCACAATGATAATGCTGATGAAGATGATGATGATGGTGATGTGGATTATAGCACAATTAACACAGGGCAAAGTTAATCTGGTACATAAATACTTAAATTTAAACACCATGTATTGAAACAAACTGGATTTTCTCACAGTCAGGATTTCTCATTTTTTTAAGTGTCAACCATCATTTAATGTTGTGCCAAAGGCTTGATCTGCTGACAGGGCTTTATGTTAGGACTCCTCATAACTCTCTATTTATCTGAACTGACACATGATATATACAAACCTTGTAAATTCAGATTGTCTTGATAAAAGTTAGTCTGCCCAGCACTTGGAAAAGCAAATTAAAGTTAAAATTGACCGTCATTAACAGAAACATTAGTATACAAATACCAGTGAAAGAAACACCTAAATCAATCGTGTCAGAAGGAACAATGGAAAAACATGATATACACATCTTTATCATCGTTATAATTCTAAGGAAAAGATATTGATGACGATAATAATAATATCAATAATAATAATAACAATGATAATAACAATTGTTATAATAGTAATAATAATTCTTAACAATAATATTAATAATAATAGTTAATAATAACAATTAATAATGATAATAATCACACATAGAACCATGCCATGTAAATATCATGCACCTGTAAGTAAACCATCTAATGAGCCTTCAGGGGGTGAAAACCAAAAGTATGCAATGTTTAATTACTGATACCTTTTTGGCAGGTTCTTGATTACTGCCTCCTTCAGCTTGGAATTATCTGGTAATGCCAATATCTTTGCAATGCATGTTTTACCATAAGACTGCACACCAGCATAAAAAGTTATAGCAAACACTCCTTTTAAGAAGGAAAAAATCATTGTTTCAGTCATTCCTCATCAGATCACATTTTGACATACATCTACATGTACTTGCAATACTCAAATTTAGCAATTATGGAAGCTGAAAACTGTTTAAAAATAATCCTATTGTAAATGAAGCTTTTCTAATGCTTTACATTGTATCTTACCAGTGTACACCAACCCTTTGAAATTTTTCAGCTTGGTTACATAACCTTTGGAAGGAACAAAGCAGACAGTTGACAATTTGCTTAACATTTAAGGATTTTCTATATCACCTAGGTGATTAGATGAGGCTTTGTAAACACTAGAAAATTCCTCTATTGCTAATCACAGGAATTAAATAGTCACCTTTGGCTAAATTTCCAACCAGGTGCACTTGGTTAATGGTAAGTGCTCTTTCACATGACAGAGAGAAAAAAAGGTACTCTCTAATAAAACCAATTAGTATTTACTAGAACAGTAGGATAGCAGTGAAAGTGTGCTCTTGTTGTCTACTCGACTCTGAATATCCTTTGGTATTCACCTCTGAACAAATCACTCAGGATTTCTGCCTGAGAGATTGTAATCATTCCAGGAACAACTGAGTTAAAATCATAATTTTATCTCACTGTTTTTGCAAATATAATTTAAAACAACTACTTACCTCAGTGTGGGTGGCTAGAAGTTGGTGTTTGGCTCACCACTTTGCGGCTTACTACATGTACATATCCACCAATAGCCACCTCTACTTTGGTGAATAGTTTTTAAATGGTGTGTTCATAGACCTACCTGTTCTTATTAGCAATTCCCTTAGACCAAAAGTTGATACAATACCGAGAGGAATACCTATAAATAAGAAAAATAAATATATACCCCAAAGCACAAATTATTCAAGATGCAATGATTTGTTTTGTAATTTTACGAGATTAAAACTTCAATTTTGCACTTTTGAGTAAAACATCCACAAGTAGAGCAATTAAACCCTTTAACACCTAAGAGTGACAAGTATATAATTTCTCTCCACAATATCACCTCTCAATCACACTTTAACCTTTTAACTCCCATGAGTGACCAAGACAGAATTTCTCCTTACAGTATTAATACAATATCAACCAGGTAAGTGATGAGACCAAAGAAAAATATCAATTTGGGGATAATTAGTTGATCCGATACTAAATTCTCTGAACTAACATTAAAAGAATTGTATGGTTGACAGTAAGGAGAATTGCAAATTTGATCTGGGAGTTAAAGGGTTAAGGTCATGATATGAAAGAAAATGATCACCAACAAGAGAAGCTCTTGATTGTTGACCAAACTCTCTTTTTCAACACCTGGGAAATGTATAGGGAGCCGTAAGGAGAATATGCATACTGATCTTAAGTTGAAAAGGGTTAACCTGTCCTTTGATTCAGCAAAGTGGCTTTTATCAATGGTATAACAACATCAAGATAGACAAAAGCACAATTGCAGGACTATGCTACGACAGTAACAACAACGATTTTTTGTCACCTTGTCTAACAGCAATTCAGTCATTCTTTCACCTACTTATTGGTTTGGAAAAAGTTCTAATTTTGTTGGACTGACAAGTTTTTCTTGCATGGTGGACTACCATCAACAACTAGCTCCAGTGGACACGAACCTCAATTAATAAACTAGAATCCTTTATAACTAAATTATACCACGATGTCTTGATGAGAATCGTTGGTTCTATTTAAGCTTATTTCGACATATTGGCTACCTCTAAACCAAATACTGTTTCTTGCACAATCTCTGAGAACTGCTCTGTCTTCATCCGTAATCTCTGTTGCCTAATGAAATCAACCGTAAGTTAAAAAACCGCAAATATAGTAAAACAAATAAATACAATCCACTTTAAGTTTACCTCAAACGGTACTTGTTGATCTCTACCCGTTCGTAATTCTCCGTCTGAAGAACCAGCCATTTTGTACTAGTCTTACAATTTACCTTAAATGAAGCCAGTCTCATTCCTATGGTAAACCGCTGACCAAACCATCTTGACACGAACTTACAACAACAGTCAACAAAAGGTCGGCAGAACTGAAGGGTCGCCAGCGAGTGAACACATTTACTACCATTTTCTTCTCGTGAACCTACTCTTTGTCGCAATATGAGGATGAGTAGCGAGAAGAGAACCATTTGGATAATTGTCAAAGATGGAGAAGGTATGCCAGATTCGTTTTCACGCAATAAGTTTGATATCGTGATACCCGATATTTCGCTTCCATACTGCATCGCTTTCATGTAATTTCTCAGTTATAAGTACTAGTTATTCTACATGATACAAATGATTTGATAGATGCTCAAGGTTAAATGGTGTAGTTTGAAGCGTTAAAAGGTCACCGAAGGCTACTGTGTATTGTCTTCTGATCTTCCAACAGTCATGTCTGATCTAAAGCGATTCCAGTTCAACTGTGTCGATGGAGTAGAGGAGGAGGACAAGGTCTATGAAAAAACCAAGTTCTTAGAGGTGAATGAACAAGGCTTACATCGGGTTCTGCCTGTGTGCAATTTTTTAGATGGAAATAAACAAAATTTGCTTTTATCAAACCATATAGTTTATTTTAGTGTATGTTCTGATTCACTATTGTCATGGTTAGATTGATATCCCTTTTGATTTCGGCTCTTTATTGACACTACCATAACCCAAAACAACGGGATACGATAAACATCAAGGATAAGATTTCACCACAATCCAAACTCGCCCAAAACTTGAGTTGACAATTATACAAATGAAAATAACTGTGAAAACAGTCACAAAAGTATTGACTATTTGGTGAAATTTTTGTTCCCATGATATTTCTAATGCCTTTCCCTATCCACAACACCAAACGAACGAATTGAAGATTAAATATATATGCATAATAGTTTATTATTAATTTCTATTTAATATTTATTTATTTCACTGATCAAGTTGTTTTCTTTGGATGCTTCAAGGATCTTGCAGAGCAACTTGGTTTGTCAGGATTTGAAAAGACCAGTGTCTTAAAGGTTTGTTCATTGCAAGTTCTCTATTATGTCCTTGTACATTAACAAAACTCTTTAACTGATTTATTATTTATTAATATTATTATTATTGTTGTTATTGAGATCATTATTTTCTCTTAGCTAAGGAATGGCAGAGGTTCTCTCATACCACTAAGTAGAAGAACTCCTGAAAATACAGTTACAAGGTACTTTTTTTTCTGTGCTATTCACATGTATTATTTTATTAAGATGGTGTGCACTTATTAGTTTCACCTTACCCAGTAAAACAATGTGTTCAAAATGGCGGTTTTTTTTACTCAGAAAAAGGATGAAAAAATTTTAAACTATATGTACATGTGTGTTTTAATCAATTGAGCAAGATTGTGTGATTCCAGTATGTTGTCAGCTGGTATGTACAGACAGTACAGTTGCAGGTACACCATATCATTGTTGAAAACTGAAATCACATTCTTGTATTTTATTTCTTACAGCCCTTACATTCTTGAAGTTTGTAGAAGATATTCATCAGGTGAGGCACTATGACCTATTGTAGTAAGTAAATTAACTCTGATTATCAGATAATTCAGCTGTCGGTATTTTGAGGTAGAGCTGCTGCCAGAGTCTTTATGTGAAATAGATCATGATAAAACTTTGGTGATAACACAAAGACAATTGACCTTCTGTGTAATCTAGACCTCAAAGACTCTGCCTGGAAGAAGTCTTAAGCATATAACAATAAAGTACATGCATCTATCATTAAATTTTCAATTACTGTAGTTTGTTTTTGCTGTCTATATGATTGTATAGCAACTTAAGTATTGGTTCACCTTTATGTCAATTACACAACAATGACTGATGTGTTCCTTTAACTGAATTTGCTCCCGCAGTAAAACCCAGTCCTAGAAGAATTGATGTGCCCAGTTACAATGAAACATACCAGAGAAAGTTAACAATATTTACCAAGAGGGTGCGTTCAATTTTACACTATAATTACTTGTATGAAAAGACCAACTTCTGTGGTTGGTAGACACGTATCTGTTTATGGTAATGTATGCAATGCTAATTCTCCTGCCACCAAGGGTAATTGTGAAGAAAGAGTCTCTAAAAAACCCTATTGACTGTTGTCGGCCAACTGTTGGCTGACAGATGGCCAACATTCAGATATATTTCATTGGTCTGTTGGCATGTTGTTGTATCAATATATTATGTGTGTAAACTAAGTTTAACTTCTCAATTTGCTAATAAAGCTTGTTATTTATTGTTTTGTTTGTTTGTTGTAGTCCCAGCAGTGCACAGGACAAATGTCATATGTGAACTTTGTTATGAACCAGCTCTTTAGAAAGTTGTCTGTATCTCAGTGGTAGTGCTACCCAGCATGTATGAAATAATATTCAAAGAAACTTAAGGGGCAAACATGTATGAAATCACTACATCAAGCACAATGGTACAGCATTTAACACTTAAATAAAGCTGTAATTATACTTCGCTTCGCCTTCAGGGCATTGTGTTCATGCTTTAAGTGACTGTATAACGTACATCTTAATTTGCAGATTAGCAGGCTGGAGGAAACTCTTCCTCAACTGTCACTGTTACGAGATGCTAAACTTAGCGCGGTGAGTAGACTGGAGACAACAGTTACAAAATTTATCCAATTAGGTTGAATTTAACTAGTTTTCAAAACTTTCAGAAAACTGAAAGAAAGACAAACTAGTCAGTAAGTAGCTAGAACATAATCAGGTGATGACGGTGATTGTTCCTAACCGACCTGTTCAGCCTTCTGTGTGCAATGCCATTGAAAACCATAGCGAAAGCTGACGAGTGTTGGGCTGGGTCCTCCGGAAAAGCCGTCCGACCCAGCGCTCACATTGCTTTCGGTGCAAAAACGTAAAGGAAACAGAATGGGCAAAAAAGGTCACGTCTTTCATTGGTCACACGATAACATGTTTATTGCCTGAGTTTTGGTCATGACGCATAGACCTCCTTGGCACGGACCATGTTTCATGACCTCGACCTAAATATTTTCCCAACGGGAATTTTATAGTATTCTTGTCCTATCGGTTTGTCTGTTGAATATTCTCAAGGTCGTTGTATACTTTTGTGCTGAAGTATTACTATTGATATTTTGCTCTTTACGTGTACAGGAAGTGAAAACTTTGGAACAGAGATTAATGTTTTTGAATTCAAAACTCCAGGTGCGTTTGAAAACATCTGTAATTGTGTTGATGCAGATCTTACTTGGGCTGAGGGCCCGTCTTTTGTGCCCTCTCTTGGGCTGGTGCCTGTTTTATTTTGTGCATGAGATATGCGGCCTCCCAGCCTGTGAAGTCCTGTATAATATCGATCCTCTGTAATGGTAGTATTTAATTACGTTCTCATTTCGCTCTTTTAATCGAAAACTGTGTATTTTCTAGAACTTTTCAAGATTTATTGAAGTAAACGGCTTATGTTGCTTTAATTAGCGCAATTCCGACCGACGAAAAATCAGTCGGAACGTAAAAAAGTTTCCAAGACTTCCCCGGAGGCCATGCTTTTTCCTATACCAAGCTTCTCATCCTTATAAGCCCATAACTGGTACACAGTCTATGTATTGTTAGCTTGTTTTGATGATACTTATTTCTTCGTCTACCTATAGGAAGCTGATTCTCGGCAATGGAAAGGAATGTTTACTAAACATCCTTTGTGGTGACCAGCAAACTCCACACAGGTCCATTAGACTTAGTATGATTGAGGCGACTAAGTTAAAGAGTTGTACAAAACTTCTATAAACGTGTTTTGCCTAGATGGCGGGCATCATTTATTGCCTTGTTGAAGTGGAGCAAACTGTACTAAGGTCAAAATTTACAGTGTGTGGAAAAGACACATTACAGTGGTAGTCATTTTTTTTAATTATTATTTCCCTGCTTTGTAAATGTGGAGGGAAAGCGAACGCGCAGTTTAGATCGCTAGCTGTCTCATGTTGGAACTCCGAAAAATTTCGAAAGTTATATAGCCAAGTATAGTTTAATGAAATGGTTATACAAATGCTTATGGTTATGCAAAGAATAAGTAGATTTTACACCGTTGAAATCCGAATTGCAATTTCCTTCAGGTCAGATTGCATTCTATATATTCACATCAATTCGTTTTCGGGAATGAAAGCAGCAACAACATGCGTGACCCTGAAGTTGCATAGTTGCTGTTAGAGATACGTTGAACATGATATCTGTAAGGAACTGTACAGTTTGCATTAAAATTACTGTAATTCTTTACTCAATTATGTCCCACACTTCGACTGCTCTGTAAAGACTTTTTATTTTTGCAGCAAAAGTTCGACTGACAAGTTGGAAAAAAATGTTAATTAAAAAGTCTTTTTTTTTATCTTTTTTTTTCTAGAAACAAACAGCTGTAGATCACAGACAGTTCTTTTAACGAAAGTTTATTTACAGCGACATATGGCCGTTCAAAAACATAGCCATGTTAATCAAACAAACAGACAAAGGAAATAAACAAACACAGGAAAAAGAGTGAGAAAGGGAAACTATTGTAATCGAGATTAGCAGCTTCTTGGCACGGGAATGGTTAGCTTAATAAAGCTGTATTTGAACGAGCAAGTTCAGTTCTCTGACAATAAAAGGCTTCCTATTTTTAATTTTCCCTCACACAGTATACAGAAGATCATTCTCTTTTGGTTATTAGTTTTTTTCAAGGGTATTGGTGATTGGACGATAGGGCTTTTCGTGGACACTCTCAAGGGTACATTGAAAATTCTACATCGGCAATTCTGCTATTAATAAGTTTTCCCCCAAGGCTTGGGCGAGGTTCAAATGCCGAACTTTCGTTTCACCGAGCGTAGTACCTTGAGCGAAGTTCGTGAAAAGCTAGGCGACTGATTCGATCAAGAATACCGATTTTAATTTGGAACGGCTCAGCCTTCTTTTTTTTTCGCCCCGCAAGGGCCGCATATTTGACTCTCAAATAAAGTGGGAACTTTCATCCAAAATTAACCGTTCCTTAAAGTTTTGCAAATTTCCAAGCATGTTTTCCCGGGAACTGTAACGCGGAAACATAGTTGACAGAGCGTGTTCTCTGGATGATTTGTTCTCGAAGTGGGAGGTAGAGATCAAGCAAGATCTCTTGGAAATCATCTTCGAATTCCCAGTGTCACAGCACGATGTCAGTTGCAAAGACAGTACCTCCAATCACTAAATTTGCATTACAAGAAGTAACTTAATCAAGAAAATGTATACCTCAACAAGGGACGACTTTTACAATCCTTTATCACTCCCTTTTTAGGCTGAAATAAAGCACTTAGATTTGAAAACTGACAGAAGTAATTAATTTTCTACCTACCTTCAAAAACAACTATCCGTGTATTGTAAAGGGCGGAGAAAGGGAAATTAATTATTTTCTACCTTGAAAACGTTGTCCTCGAGCAGGTGGGCAGCTTCATTTGAATTTTAATTATCTTGGGTTATATTTTAGATAGTGATTTAAAGTTTAATATTGTTGCTTGATTTGCTTTTTGGTGGCTTATGACGAAGTTCAAATTGGTTTCATAAGCGCGTTCTAGTTTGAGCAAAATAAGCCAAAGAGGAAAGAACGACTTCGGAAAGCCGTGGTGAGGCTCATAAGGGCGCTGAACAGAAGAAAAACTACTGGAAAAGAGCAAATGTACTGATAAAAGGTAAATGTAGTTTATTTATTTTCATATGTTAGCTTTTTCTGATGGATTTACTTACGTGCATCCATGCATCTTCGCCCTTCCACAGACAATCATCTCTTCTTTTGCCAAGCCATGGGAAAAAAATAAAATGAAAAGGGTTAGAAGAATCTCCCTCAAAGTGATTTTATTTTTTCACTTTTTTTTTTTTTTTACAACAGACCAAACTTTTCTGCCAAGAACAGTGACAAATTAAGCAAATGACAATTTGACGTTTTTTTTACAGAAGTGAAATACTTCTTTTTCTCTTACTTGTTCTCTTTAACGTTCGGCTCGTGTCGTAGTGCAATGATAAATATATTAATATCCAATAAAAGTACCGAGGAAAAGGTGTTTTCTTCGCCACAAAAGCCCTCAACTATTTCCTTGACATTATTATTAATATTACTTTTTTATCATTCGAATAAAGCAAATCTGAGTCGTGATCTTTTTCAATTGAAGGGGAAAAACGTGTTGAAAGGAAAAATTTCCATTATGCAAACGTTACTCGACATTTTTTCGGTCCGATCATATTACGGGAAAAAAATCGTGGTGGCAGAGGAAAATTTTACTGTAGTTTCCTAATCATTTGCATTCGAGCGTTCTCTCAAAGCCCATATACCATGGTTCAATACTCTTTTTAAATTTATTTTATCTATTTACTTTTTAACTTTCATCCAAAACAGATTGTTATTTTCCTTATCTACACGAGACATAGGAAAATGCAAATCTAAGTAAGAGAAAAAATAAAATAAAGCAACAAGAAATTGAACTATAAATATTATGTTTTCATTTTCCAAGTGATTGAGGAGTTTATTAGCATCCAATATGTTTTTTTTTCTCCCATTTGGAATTGATTTATTACTGCTATTTATTTTCTCTCGTGCTATGATTTAATCCAACAAATAGACTAAAATGTCGGCAAATTATTCACTATCCCAACAACGAAATAGGATAAAATAATAACCAATATCCAGTGAAGAACAGCCAAGTTATGAAAGAAAGGGGAAATTTGCATTAGAGACTGACAAAGGAGGCGTCGATTAGGATTGGTTGATTTAAACTACAACTTTGAGTGTGATTGGTTGATTAAACTACAACTTTGAAAGTGATTCGCTTATTGCACTGTCCGATAACAAACTGTTACAACTTGACAAGTGAGAAAATAGAAAATAGGAGTTTTTTAAACCAATCACAATCGTGGCAATTGTAATTTTCATAATTAAATTGACGATGAGTTCGCTTCGTTTAATAATCTGAGGTTTATTATGAGGGTCTGTAGTAAACATTGCTGGACGCTGTTTTTTGTTCTTTTTTTACGTTCATGTTTAACCGTCATTTAGCATAGCTCATGTGTTGCGATTTCTTTGTAGATGAATTTTACGTTTCCTCTTCTTGGAGTTATAGCATTTGGTGTTGTGACTTTGCTTGCCTCAGAAGGTTTGTAACCAATAACAATAACAGGTTTGCGGGCCTAAGCGGGCCAAAGGAGTACCGTTAAACAATGACCCTTAAGCCATACTAGGGAAAATCAATCAGGATAACATATTAAGTATTTATCATATAAACTAAGGTGTTATACAAGGATTTCCAGCCCTGAGAAAAGTCGTAACAACACATGTCAAAAAATGTCGTATTTTTTGATGTGTGTTTGATATCGCCAACCAGCTGCTGAGACGTCACTTCACCATTCTCCATCCAAGGTCATTTGCCTTTATTTTTTTTTTCGGTTTTATGGCTGCTAAAACACTGAAAAATCAGTATTGCTTAGAGACGGTGACGTTTAGTCTTCCCTGGAAGAGGAAGTAAACCCTTATACGGAAAGATAAACCGAAAGTTATGTATTCAATAATAATAATAATAGTAATGATAATAATATAATAACTTTATTTACCCTACAAAATGGATCAGCTAGTACCATAATAAAAGCTGGTATTGACCCATGTGTAGCTATAATAAAATACTCTATAACTTCTATCTCTATGAAAAAAATATCGGCTACTGGAAAAAAATCAACTATAAAACTAAGTTAGCGAGCAACGAGCAACAATGGCTTTAGTAATGGCATTTCTCGTGGCTACGAACGAAAATCGACAACTGGAAGATTTGTTACAGGCCGATTTTGGCCGTGTACCTGAGAGACTTCTTCTGTCAGTAAGGATCTAGTCAAAACCGAGAATTTCGTTTAGTGAAAATTACGCCCATTGTTGTTGTTTTTTTTTTGTAATGTTTCAACGCATTTTTTCATGTTGAACCTTAGCGCCAACACACTGTGCGATTTTTATTCGGGGTTGTTAATCCTTTTATTTTCATCCATTAATAAACAAGATAAGATTTTTTTGCCATTAAACTTCTATTGTGTATATATGATAAACAAAATAATAGATGGTTACTTGCAAATACGAAATTTCTCTTCTCGTGTTCAACTTGCCATCTCTCTCGTTCGCTGCGCTCACTGGTGCGCTATTGAGTTAATCACTCGAAGAAAAATTCCACATCTACGCCCGCCCATGTATTATTCTCTATGTAATAAATGAAGAAGCAACAATTAAACAGGAATAAATTGAAAGAGAATTTCCGAGCTTCAGATGAAATCTCCCTTTACTTTATGCAGTTTCCTAATCTGTCAGATGTAGGCAATGTATGCATACTATTTAAAACGAGGGTAAGTGCACATCTATCGTTATGAAAAAGGATTTGTTTATTTTAATACAAAAACATGTATGGGGCGAGTTTACATGCACAATGAAAGTTTTTCTCTCAACCTCCGAAATGGTCTTTTCCATATGTACATGAATGTAATAATTAGACACTTACTAATAATTTTCCAAGGAGGATAGTTATATAAGACGTGTTCGAGAGAGTAAGCCCTACCTAATTTCTACGGAGTGTCTATGGTGTAGATCTCTATGTGCGCACGTCCCAGCATTCATAAAACGATATGTGCAGTTGACTCGAGGAGCTAGAATAGTTCTCGGCTGCGCCTCAAGCAGCTCTCACGCTTCCCGCGTGGATCTATAACTCTCTATTATCTATTGCTCACAATTATTGGTAATTGATAATGAAGAGAATAACTCTTAATAAATAAATGTAACAACTCGAATTTGTTTTTACCCACGTTTGTTTTACCAATGCTAATTTTTTAGCGATCTCAGCCGGTGCTTATGCATTGGACAGTTTACGTGGATCAATGTCAAGTATCTTTTAAGTACTTTTTATGTTATCATTATTTCAGGAATCACTGTTAGCGTAAACAAATCAGAAGAATACAAACTTCGCTCGGACATTTTAAAGTATAAGGAGCCCATGGTCCGTCCTGTTGAAAACTACTCTGAAGCCGTCAATGTTTCTTTCTATATGGACGTTTTAAACTTGACAGACCTGGTATGCCATCGCAGATTTATCATTGTTTTGTATGCCAACATAAATCTATCATTGTTTTAACACATATACTGCAAATGATTCCAAACCGAAAAAAGAAACAAACAAACAAAGAAATTAAAACACCGTCAGCCTGTGAGAATAATCTTGCATGTCTCAACGCAATCAATCACAACATTATGTTTAAACCGATTTGCCCGCCCACACATTATCCGGCAGTCACTAACCCATTTTTGTTTGCCAGTCCCTCAAAGTCAAACTTTTAAAACTCATCACACGTTCGTCGGTGTTGTTAACGTTGTTGACTTTTTGTTATTTAGTTTGTTTGTTTTTTAGGTTATCACAGCCTATCAAGACTTCACCTCACCCTATTAAAGGGTAGAAAAGACATACCCGCCTAGAGGTGTAGATACTGTTACACTGCACTGCTCATTTTTGAATGCCAGTATCTTAGTCTCTCCTTATCATTACTTTAGTGACAATCAACACCGTTTAAAACAAGAAAAACAGTTTAATTTAAATCATTCGTTTCGTTCCATGGGATTTCGCAGAGTTATTTTGTGTTTGCCTATTACAGGATAATAAGCGCCAGATGCTTGCAACAAATGTCTGGATTTTACAGGTTTGTGTTTACTACATTGCGCTTTACGCAGTCGCTCTTTAGTGCACTTGTATACTTGTGCTTTGCCAAGAATGTCTTTTATTCACTCTTTTATCCAGCTGTTCATTGTTTACGCATTCATTCATGGATTTATTTTTTTTCTTTCTTTTAATCATCTATTCATAAATTTCTTACCTTATTCATTAACTTGATCATGACAACAAACGAAAATTTGAACGACTAAACGGAATGCTTACAAATAAATAAACTTATGAGGTAGTAACTATGACAACCACAAGTGCAAAAGTAGAGAGACCTGGGACATCGTTACTTTATTGGATGGTTACCACTTCTCGCTTTCTTTGAACTCATTTCTCTCAGTTGTGGTATCATTAAAATTTTGCAGAGGTGGCAGAATCCGTTCCTCGAATGGAAGAAAGAAGATTATGGAGGTATTGATCAGATCCTCGTGAGCCCAACGGAAATATGGGTGCCAGACATTGTCCTTTACAACAAGTAAACTACTTTTGGGTTTTAAATTGTTTATGAGTGTCATTTTCGATCCCATGCTTGCACACTTATGACTTTTGAGTACATCCATCAATCAATAAATCGATCAATGCAGGCACACAGCCAGAAATTTGTCCGTTATAAAGTGCATCAATCAATCAATCAATCAGTTAATAATCGGCAGCCGTCAGTCATTAATTGAAAATAAATGAATTGAGCAGAGAGTTATTTATAATATTTCTTGTTTTCTTGCCCTGTAGTGGCGATAAACAGGTTCGGAAAGCTGGTCACACTGAACTGTTCAAGAACTGGGTCGCAGTTAATAGCACTGGAGGGTGTAGTTGGGGATCCATGGCAAATCTTGAGAGTAGTTGCAGCGTGGAGGTCAGCTCGTTTCCTTTCGATGAGCAGGAGTGTTCTCTTACTTTTGCTTCAGCGAGTTATGGAAGTAATATGCTGGAAATTCATTCCATACGCCCTTTAGGTAGCAGTCTGGCATTTGTTTATTGTTTGTTTACTTGTAAACGAGTTTCTGGTTATGCTTTCCTTTATACATTTATTGTGAGAAATTCATCCTTTAGCGCGAATGTCTTGAGAGTTGAATTGAAAGTGATAAGTGCCCTTTTATTCCCTTTTTGTTTTGTTTTGTTTTTTAATCTTTCGACTTTTTTTCTAGGAAAACAAGATAAGAGCGAACATCTCGATGAGGATGGGGAATGGGAGTTTAAACGCATGTACGTGCATATTTCGAGGAAGATATCTCAACGACATGAAGATGCAAGGCTGGAATACCCTCGTATCACATACACACTAAAGATCAAACGGAGGCCCCTTTATTATATCATGCTGATGATTATACCTTGCGTCCTTTGTACCCTGTTGGTTCTGGCCAGTTTCGCTATTCCTCCAGAAAATGGTGAACGGATTGGTTTTTGCTCCACCGTCATGCTTTCAATCAGTGTTTATCTCCTTATCATGGCTGATATGCTCCCAGAAAAGTCGGATACGTTGCCAGTTCTTGGTGTCTACTACACCATCACTATGTTTGAGATAGCCCTGGCATTGATTGGTACGATTATTGTTTTGAGGATCTACCATTCAGCAAGTGAACCACCCAACTGTTTTAAAACTCTGCATAAGAAGCGCAAAGCCAAGAAATTAAAGAAAATAAGAGTTGGAGGAAAGTGGATGATGACAAAACTCCTCAGAGGCAATGCCGTAACAAACAATAGCAATCCAGTTGGAGGTGATGCAGAACCGAATATTACTCAGGTCCCAGTTGATACGGAGCCACAGGAGACAGAGGTAAAGGGCGACGGAAATGGCATTGAGCTCACAGAAGATGACAATCAAAAAATCTGGCGTTCAATTGCTGTTACTTGTGATCGCATTTTTTTCTGGCTCTTTTCGATCATTTTCATCGGGTCCACTGCATATGTGATAGCGAATCGTGGTAACTTTGCGGTTTTGTTTGATAAGAACATCTAATCTTTTTTTTTTTTTTTTTTTTTTTACGTGGACGGGACTTCTTCCAACTGTTGTGCTTTATTTATATGGCTACATAAGCGACCTTATGTTTTTTAGTAATTTTGCTAGAGTATACATACACTTGGATACCTAGCGACAACAGGGATTATAATGAACTTATTACCAATCTAGTCTGGGCATTCTGCGCCTTTTTGACGACAACTGGAATGAAATAAGGATTGCTGAGTTCTCAGGTTCTCTATGTTGAAGCGTAATTAGTTACAGCAGTAGCCTCGGGCTGTAGTCGCATTGTAGCTGCTGATCAATATTTATCATGTTATGCTTAAGCTTCAAAATTTAAAGTTTTCTAAAAGCATTAGCACTAGTTACTTTTATAGAAACAAATAAGGGTGAAAACTGCTCCAAATAGTTCATGTCAGTTACCATGTGTCGCTGGCAATGTATGTAAGCAAAACCTGAGATATCGTTAACATGTCTATTGATGTGAGAGCGGATGCAGACTGTTGAAGTTATAGGAGTAATCCCTGGGCAATAATTTAAAACACGATCACAGAAGCATTAAACGGAAATGTCTACTTGCGTTAAAAAAAAAAGAAAAATAAGAAAAAAAAATCATTTTTTAGAAGTCTTGGATTTATTTAAAGGAGGAATATGATCTCAAAATCTGAATTACTATCTGTGTTGTGTTAGCTTTATGCTCGGTTTTGTCGCTTAAAAATTGTAGTTCTCGGAAAGTTATTTATTAAATTGGCTGTTCCACAACCTCTCTATTTGAAAAGAAGGTTTTCCCACAGAGGTGCCATGTTGCCGGTTGATCCGATCAACAGCTCCCTTAAGCGAATTTGAAAATGAACTACGTCCTTATTGCTTTTGAATGAGACTAGGCATCCTAGAAAGGCAGTTCAAATGTTATGATTGGTTTTTATTCCTATGATACTGTATTAATTATCCGTTAGTTCAGCTAGGCACAATGAGATAGTTTATACTCTTACATTGTGTTGATTTTTCCGTGTATAAATCAAGTCATCTATGTTTATGTCATTTTTATCTCATATTGGCAGTTAATTGGCGGTAAATTTTACAAATTCCCCGAACCCTTTTTACCCCCCAAAACCACGTGCTCCTCCCGACATCCTTCCCTCCCTCCTCTCCCAGGTGACAAATAAAGACTGGATCCCAACTCCTTTCTCTCATTCATGGTCTTCGTTGAGTTGTCATTTAAGATAACACCACGCGTTGCTCTTGTCGCCTTTGTTTTGTTTTTTGGACGATCCAATAATGCCTATCTTATTCCCACAACCATTCTTTTTTGTTTGCATTGGAAATCGAATGGTTGCATCAATGAGCCATCCACGTCTGGAAAGCAAAAGGAGAAAAAATGTTGGCAAACGCAACTTATAAATGGCAACGAGATTCTGTAAGCTAGTATTATTTACATGTAGACACGTAATAGCCATGACAAATGCATACAAACAAGTGAGCAGCAACCTACGCGCATCTTTCAAGACCAGCCTGCCAAGCTTTGTGCAGCTGACTGTATGTGGCCAACATAGCTCCGTGTAAAGCACAAAGACGCTTTGCGTCGTAAAAGGTCAGTTTGTATCTTCCAGCGTAGGTTTGAAATACTCGCTCTGTAGGAAGCGTCTTTCCCATGATGTTCGTATCTAAATAAAAAAAATTACCCATAGCATCGAATATTTAAGCGTGAGAAATCATTGTTACAATTTCGCCTCTGTTTTTATAGTTTTTTTTCTCCTTTTTTTTTTCAAAGAATTTCGGAATTTATGAATGAATGGGAAAGAGGGGCTAACGATCAAATAGAAAAGTTCTCGTATGTACATGTATGAGTTCTCAGTATATTACCAAAGATAGTAGGCAAAAGACAAAAAGCCCTTATATTAAACTTTAAGGAATATGTCTCATTATATCATTACCTTTGCGTGATGTTGGGATGGCAATAGCGTTTTAAACCTATTACGTTTACCTATTAAAAGAACGCACGCACTGTTCGCAAAGAGTAGGGCACGTAGTGCCCGGTGTTGTGGTCTATCTCGATTTGTGCCGTCGTAGGTCTGGGTGGGTGAGGTGTGATCACAATGGACTGAAGCGGCTGCCAGAGGCGCCTTGGCTGCAAGTGAGGAAATTGGCACCATTCATCTATCTATCTATCCATCTATCGTATGATTAGTAAGGTGATAATTCGTTAATTAGATATACAGTATCCCGTAAGCTTTCTTCCTCGTTAAGCCAAAAAAATTAAGGCAAAGCAACTTTCACTAGACTTACCAACGTTACACTTATCGTCAATAAATGGCAGCGCTATAACTTCTGGGAGACACTGACAGGAAAATTCATCCAATCGTGAACCAAGAGTGCAAGTCCCTCCATTACTACATGGGCTGTTGTTACATGTAGATAGGCTTGAAATAAACTAAATTCTAATCAGATTAGAGAGGAGTAACTTCAAAACCAAAAGATATACTTGGTACTAATTTGGATGCAAAGACCTGATAAGTTCTGGAATGAGCTCTGTGATCATGCAGTTTTGAGCAGCTGCAAGTTGGTCTAGGCTTATTTTCCCATCCATAATGCAAAGGATTGGGGAAAGCGGTATAATCTTCCGATCGTCTCATCTAGCAGACTTTAGCTGGGATTAGAAGGTTGAATTTTATATATTTCTTACTTTCAAAAGGCGAAATACGCATGCAGAGGTGAGGTAATGGTAATACAAGGTAGTTTCTCTAGAATAAGTAATGGGCCTTGAACAAAAGGTTTCAAAATAAGTTGTATAACAACTGTTGTTCTGAAAGGTTCAGCTATCAATAAGGTATGTCCTCCTTCTACGATCTGTTTAGAGTTAAGATTCGAGTCAGTTTCCGGAGGAGGGATAAACTAAGACATTTTTTGGAGTTCCTCCATGGCCTAGAATGGTGGGATTTACCCTCCGAAGTTTTAGCCTAGTACAGTCACTATATTGTAATTGTTCAGGAGTTATGCTGATTTATGTCGATTCCCTGGATTGTTAATCTCATTTTCAGTGTTTTAGCTGATTCATTCAGCTCCAAACTTTTCATAGTGAGCTATAGAGGCAGATGTCAAAAACTTACCTCAGCAGACGTGCCGAAATAATCAAAGCTAGGATCTCCTTGCGTTCTTTGTGGATCCGAACACCTTTCCGAGTCACTCAACTCACAACTATAAAACCCATCGTGAGAAGTTTTAGCAATATTAAACGAAAGACAAGCGGATGGACCATGCTCCAGGCAATGGAAGACACACTCGAAAATGTCCTTGACTTTTCTTGTTGATGTTAAATCTCCAACCAAGACCATATCCGCCATTTTGTAAAATTGCCTATCGTGCTTGATTAGGTGCTGAGCGAAACCAAGTGGTTTTATCATTGTGACAAGAAAGATCAGCAAAATGGTGAAGCTTTTTGTGAAATACATAATTATCGAAGGTGGAAGGTTGACCGTAAAAAAAAAAAAACTGTGGACACAGCGAAACGTGGTAATTGATTGAGCAGTTTGACGTTACCTATTTAAAGAGACGTTGCTTTAACGCAGCATGCTGCCAGAGTCAATTATACCACCAGGATGATTGTGTAAGAAGAAATAAAATTTTTCCATCATCAAAACTGCCTGTATGTCTTTGAGTAAGAGAAGATAAGATCGTTCTCTTTTCTTTCCTTTTGGTCTAACGAAACACCAATAAATAAACACTAAACTACTTCTGAGACCCTTCGGGTCGAATCTAAACCTAAAATTATCTCGAAATCCTTCGGAACGGCTAAGTAGCTCGAGAGCCAAGAAACACTCTGCTACAGAATTATATAACACTTTACGATAACTACTAATTGCGGACGAAGATATTTCGGCAAAGAATGTCACTAGGTCGCGTACGTTACGCGACAACATCAAAAGTTATTACATAAGTGTCTTCGTTGGTTTTTTTTTTACAATTTCTTTAACACCTTTCGCACAGTCCTATTTTGTAATCAGTCTTTTCAACACTTTTTTTTTTTTGCTTTTTTCGACAACACCTATCGTTTTTAGGTTCACGTTCACCTTGAACGCTTTAGGGCATTTGTTCAAAGTTGTCTAGGACACTGCACCTCGGCTTTTGAAGAGAGAAATCATAAAAGCTCTCCACAATAACTAAATATAATGCCTGCCTACAATGGAAAATGAAAGTGTCACACTGTGTTTTAAAGTGACATAATTGCTTTTCGGATTAAACCCAAGAGCAATGATGCACGCTAAGAATCAATTTTTTTTTTTAAATTAAGCATTACGAATTTTAAGCAGTTTGTTTTCCAGGACTATGAAACCTTTGAGTGCTTGATATTTACTCCTATGTTAAAAACAGAAGTAGTAAAATCTGTTCTTTGCGAAAAAAGTCGGGCCGAAAAGAAAATTTGATTAAACAAACTTAATAGAAATTGGCTATCAGCAGGACTCTTATAGTCCGCGATTTTGTTCAGTGGTAATAACAACTTATTACTGATTTGTTTTAGATCCCACAATTGCTACACACGAGAAAATCTATTTACGAACTTACACTGATGGTTTTTGGTAATTTTGGGCACGTTTGTAGTGAAACTTTTGCCCAATTGAAAGGGCTGTTGGTGTTGGAAATCTTGAGGATAAGGAAAAGTGTTTTTCAATTAAGCGGAGAAATGATTCAGCGAACTGGGCAACAGAATACATTTTGCGCGCATGAAAGCGATCTTCGCAGTAACAAACACTGTTTAAGCATTAGAGAAAATAAGGCCTGAAAAAAAATTAGTCTTCTACGGCCCATAACCTTTGCGATACCGGTGTTGGTTCGTAATAGATCCGTGAAGGGATGAATCAATGGCTGCGAATATATGAAAATCATATATGTGAACTGCGGTTGTTAAGAAATGAATATGAAAGTGATCTTCTTAGGAATGAATACTAATTAAGCAATAAGCTTGTTACTTCAATTGGTTGAGCATGCATGTAAACAGAGTTTTCTTATTAATGAAACTATGACACAATTCTAGTTTTGCGATTCCGTAGAGAAGCTTATTCTTACAGTTTTGGATTCAAATTTACTGAAAACTCTGTCTTAGACAACACCATGTTGAGCCATGTTCGACAAACTTTCTCAACAAGCCGCTTACTTAAGAAATGCAACTCTGACTCCTCTTTAGTCTCTCTGAGTTCTGCTTGAGAAGGTAAAAACCACAAAATAAGAATTCTATACGCAAATAATGTTTCATTCTATTTTTTTTTTGTTCTCTGTCAACCAGACCAGCAGCTGTTTGTGAGCCGCGCGTCATGGTTTAGAGTGTGCCGATGTGCAGATGTTGTCTTGGTTACCCATCTCTCCTAAAATCGTTCTTTTCGCGACACTTTTATTTAAAACACCAAGCGTTGTAGGTGTGGGTTTTGGATATTGGTGAAGAAGAGCCGATGACGCCAACTTTATTTCCACAACCTTCCTTTTTCGTCTGCATTGGGAAGCGCGCGGTGGCATCAATTAACCATCCATACCTGAATTTCAAGAAAATTACCAAAAATAAGTCAGTACCTAATGAAATATTTCAAAACGTGAAGAAGCTCTAAATAACGTAGCATAACGAATTATCAAATCAAAAACCGTGTAACAAAAGTGTCCTCTGATCAGAGGTGCATTAACAAGTCAATACAATGTCTTAGAATAAAGAAGATTTAGTCTTATTGGGGTCCCATTCACTGAGAACAGAGCATACGTTTTATAAGCACCTTATCAATTTTCTGCGTGCTCTACTTTCGGCTATCAAAATAAACTGTTAGTATGATACCTATAGATGAAGATTTTGCTACAGAAGTTTTGCTCACAACTTGAGACAATTCCCATCAGCATTTCCTTGAGGGATGGAGAAGAACGAGCCGGTACAAAGACGAAGTGAAAGGGGAAGAAAAAAAGTAAACATTTACTTACGCGCATGTTTCAGCACCAGCGTTCCAGGCCTTGTGTAGTTGGCTGTATGTGGCCAATTGTGCTCCTTGAAGTGCACATAAACGTTTGGCATTTTCATAGTTTAGCTTATACCTGCCTGTTTTAGTATGAAACACTCCTTCCACAGATTTGTAGCGAACCATCTTCTTCGTGTCTTTGAATGTGATATAGAAAACAGAAGAAAATAATAATAATGCGGTGTTTTCGGTATATGTCTCATAGTTATGGGATTTTACAAGGGAAAGCGTTCAAAAATTATTACGTAGCGTAATGCAACGAGCAAACAGTGGAAAAAGGGGATATTCGAAAATCAAAGGGGGTTTTCGACGATATGAAGTTATAGAGTCCCCATAGGAACCAAACTTGGTAATCCCAGCAAAAGCAAGTCTCAATTTCGGTGGTTTCTTTTTGTTCTAATCCACAACTTCAAACCTCTTACCAATATTACAGTTGTTGTCAATAAACGGAAGCACGGTCACTTGTGGAAGGCACTGGCAGGAAAATTCACCAGACCGCTTGCCTTGGGTGCACGTCCCTCCATTACTACACGGATTACTAGAACATGGGGATATCCTGAAAAGAGACTAATATATCTCCTATTATTACAAAAGTACCTTAGAACTCTCTGTGTTTTTGAACATAATAGAGAAGTCATAAAAAAAAAGATATCGCATCGCGCTTTTGTTTTCATGGCAAAAAATCCTGTCTACTCAACAGACCGAAGCGTGAGAAATCGATTGGAAATGAAACTCAAATCTCTTATTATAGACCCTGATTAAGTTCCTTGTTTGTGAAGTTCATTTTCTTTCCTCAGTTCGTCTTGTGACTATAATTATAAATATAATTTTTTAAGTCCGAATTCGCACTTTTTCATTTTCAAATGTTTACATGGAAGACGACGCTTTGTCTAGCGCTCGCGTGATACAAAGGCTCTGGAGGTTCATGCAATTTGAGGTTTGCTCAGTACAGGTGTTACTGTACTTCGAAAACATATTATTGAAACACAATATTTACATTATTTTATCTTTATCAGATGACTCCATAAAAGTAAAAAAGTGATCGTCAACTGTTGGATCGTGGTTATAGTTATAACAGACCATTCCACCTAGAACTACAAAACGTATCACATACTTCATTTGTTGTACCATAATAATCTTGGCCGAGCCTTTCTTCTGTTTTTCTTTTTTTAGTTCGTCTAACGCCCGTGTGATGCAAAAGCTTTGGGGGTCTGCTCAATTTGAGGTTTGTTATTGAAATACAAAATTACCCCTTTTTAACTTTATCAGATGCTTGCATTAAAGAAAGAAGCAGTCGTAAACTTGTTGATCACGGTAATGTTGTAACAGACTAATTAACCTAGGACTACAAACAAGTAAGACGTATCACATACTTCAGTAGTTGTGCCATAATAATCATAGCCGAGCCTTTCTTCTATTCTTTGCGGCTCAAGAGATCTCTCTGAACTGCTTAATTCGCAGGTATGATAGCCGTTGTCACTATTCCGAGCCATATTGAACGACAAGCAAGCGAATGGTTCGTGCTCCAGACAGAGGAAGGAACAGTCAAAATAGTCCTTTACGTGTCTTGTCGATGTTGTGTTTCCCACCAGATAACTGTCCGCCAGTTTGTAAAATTGTCTGCCTTGCCTAACTGAATGCTGACCAAG